ATGTCTTCCGCCTGCTCTGAGATCACATGGCTTCGTGGTTTATTGGGTGAACTTGGTTTTCCTCAACTTCATTCCACTCCTCTTCATGCTGATAATACCAGTGCTATTCGTATCGCCACTAATCCTGTCTTTCATGAGCGTACAAAACATATTGAAGTTGATTGTCATTCCATACGTGAATCCTTTGACAGACATGTGATTACTCTCCCTCACATTTCCACAGAGCATCAACCTGCAGACATCTTCACTAAAGCTCTTTCTCGGCATCGGCATCAATTCTTGGTTGACAAATTGATGCTTCTTGATCTACCAGCATCAATTTCAGGGGGGATGTTACAGAGATGATTTAGGGATTTGATTTATCTATTTTTGGAATAACAATTCGGTTGTAAATACTTACCTTGTATAGCATCTTTATTCTTTCTATATAATGAGTAAAACCCTATTGAAAGGGCATTCAGACCAATTGACAGATACAAGGTTTTATGGTACTTCCAGTGTTTTTTGTGATTCAGATTCTTATTGTTAAATTACATTTAAATGAATATGCAGGCAAGATATTGCAAACCACTTGTTAGGATGCCTCAGAAATGAAAATTGTGCTATTCAAAATCAGGCGTCCAATTTGATTCCCATGATTGGTTAGTCTGAACACTGAGTCTCTAGTCCATGTCTTTTTGGGTGATGTATAACTTCTGTTGGATAAAAACAGTGCATTAAAATTCTCTTGGTCATAGGCAGGATATTTCAGAAAAGAATATTATTACATTGTGTATTTTGATATAGCTTTGCCTGTGAGGTTGCATCATATATATTTCTATTTGCAATTTTATAGTGTTTAGGTTCACTTGTTCGCTGAATGCATAATCATATCCTCCGCCCCCAACATACACACACACATACATTAATATATGCCCTACAATTCTTCAAGAAACAGATTGAAGCAGAAAAATAAGGGCTTGTCTCTTGCATGTGAAGTTGCCTTCTCTTTGCACCTGTTGTGGATTAAAACTTTCAAAATTGAACTGTTTTACTGACATCAACGACTTCGTTTTTGTTCTTGCAGACCCTGCATTAGTATTGTCCACACTAGTTGGTCTATTTTACTCCACACAAGGAAAAGTGCAGCTATCCGCGAGTAGTACTCTGATGGCCTTGCTCATTAATCATAGACAAAAACCTGATGTTGTGTGCAAGCTGCTTGACTGTCTTAGGTACCTTCATATAATAATTAATTTTTTCATATCTTACACCTACGAAATGATGTGAACAAAACAGTGTATAGTTTGTAGTATAATTCTTCTCTGTGGATCATGGAGTATTTGAAAGGATAAAAAGGAGAACTTTTCTTCAATTTTTTATTTATAAGAGGTGTTTGCCCTCACTATAATATAGTGGCTTTGTAGTTGAACATTTACAAATTTACTGTTGTCTTCTGCAGCAATCTCTGCCTGAACCCAGATCCTGCAGTTTCTTCTTCTGGTAATGAAGAAGGTATGCACAAAACATCTTATTCCTCTCCCAACCCTGGTTAGAATTTTGTTCTAATCATCCTTTGACTTTAAAGTGTCGTCCAAACCGCTTTTGTACCCCCCACAACCAAACAACTACTAAAGTAGAAGAATCCAGTAACCTCTTTAATGTAGTGTGCTCTTGTTTCTGTATAGGGTCAAAGGTTGATGCTGATAGGCTGCTGAAGCAGCTGCCAGAGTGGGCAAAAACTGTAAGTGAGATTGTACTCTAATTTTCTTGGTCTCCATGTTATAGACCTAGCTTTATTGTGGTATAATATCTATCAATTACTCAATATTATCAATTTTGTTCTCCTGCTCCTGCTCCTCTTCCTTTCAAAGCTTCTTCATTTTTTGCTCACGGGGTTACGTAACCCTGGAAAAGTGAAGTCTGCCATCTTTAGCCCGTGTTTGGTGCTTACACTTTTTCATAAGCTCTGCCTTTAATGTCGTGAACTGCTACTGGCCCATTGAGTTATTCATATAGGATGGAGCTTCCCCAAAAGGTTGCTGTTAGGGCACTTTGTTCTTGCCTAATCTGCTCTCCATAAATTTACGAACATTGTTTAAAAAACTTTTTACCTCTTTATTCCCAAATGAGGTCAAATGAAGCCTCTTCCAACTTGAACTAATCTCTTCCTAGTCTCTCTCGAGTCCGACCACTTCTCAAAATTAGCTCTTTTGAAATCTCATGTGTTGTAATTACTGGCTTGCTTATAATTCTAGCTGCTTCTTCGTCCTTCCACACTCCCTCACCTTTGGTTCTCGTTACAACCTATCGTCTGCCTTTACAGCCTTGCACCGAATTCCTTTTGAAGCACTAGAGTTCACTCCTATAATTTTGTGAAAAATTTCAGGTTGAAGATTGGGATGTAATGGTTGGCCCCTTGATAGACAAGATGATATCTGAACCATCAAATGCTATTACTGTGAAGTTTCTGAGTTATATAAGTGAATATTTGGCCGAAGCTTCAAATGTGGTCTTTCATCGACTTATCTTGTATACAAGAGGGGAGAAAATGTTAGTAAATTTTCGTTTTGGCCCTCTTCTCATTTTCACTGTGCTCATGACTATTTTCTGTGCGTTCGTCCTCACTGCTAATTGAAGTAGGTTACTAAAAATTCACCACAGTTGTCTTCTGCCTGGTATATGAAAAACCAAGATGCTTTGCAGCAAATCTGGAAGAGCACAATGTATTGGACTAGTATTTCATACTTGTTCACTAGATGACATGTTGCAATCTTTCTTTCATCTTGAAAGGCTAATCTCTTTTTGCCTTTCCTGTTATGGTCTCAAAAGACAAAGTAGACTATACATCTTGTTGATCTCCATGTTTGGGATAAATTTTTGACATTGTTGTGTTGACTAGTCAATTACTATGGTGGATCATCGTTTTGAATTTGGTTCTTTCTGCTATGTATTGAATTTCATCTGCTGATTTGATTCAATACACGTCAAATTTCACTTTTGGAATGAATTTGGTCAATTGTTATCATACTATATGGTTGCTCTCAAGGAAAGTTTTCATAAGGGTAAAATGGTTTACGCATGTTTTCTATTTTTGTTCTGATTTGAGCAGAGTTGGTGAGAGCTTTTCCAAATGGCAAGGCAAGGAAGATGCAATTAATGACACCATGAAATGGGAACATTCTCTCTTTAGTCACCTTTGCCCACTTCTCATAATCAGACTGCTCCCTCTAAGAGTTTTTGATGACCTAAGTTCTCCCCTTGTTTATGGTGAACGCCAAAGAAAATGTGTGGTTGATGGTATGATTTTCTTTAATGTATTTTTTATTTCTTTCAATTTTGTCCATGCTGTCCTAGTGGGTTCATTCCAGTGGATGTATAATACTGATTTCAGAATACACATACCTTGAAAGAATTTTTAGAGCCATGTGCATTGACAGCAGTATTGATGTCCATAACGCTGATACTTTGAACTTTTCACTATCATAGTTATGCTTATTGTATGACATGCATTTCACTCTGCTTGAATGAAATCTACACTCTTTTACCAAGTTAATTAATAAAGTTACTTTGGGCCTTGTGGGCAGACGAGTTCTATCAAGTTCTTATATGATGAATTTATTTAATTCTCGTTCTAATTATTTTAATGTGGCCCTTGACAAGATGCTGAGTGACAATTCAAACAGCTATTTTTTAGATTGTGTTGTACCTCACTTTCATATAAATACGGAGGGTTGGGAATCCAAAAACCCCCATCCCCGTCCCTGACCTGCACCTCTCTCTCTCTCTCCTCACACACACACACAAAAATTGGGTCTTGGTGGCAGCCTAAAACCCCACTTAGGCTTTGATGGTGTTTTGGGGAAAAACAGCGATTGAGTTGAACACAACAATTAAACACTTATATGATCCCAACAGTGTTACATCTTGTTTGATATAGAATTAATATGTAGAATTTTGTTGACTAATTACTGCTAACAGTAATAAATGCTAAGCCTTTTGATTTGTTAAACTTTATACTGAAGTGACTACCCTCCAAATGAATGTTTCTTACAGAGAAAGGATATTTCAGCTTTGAGGGTACTGAATGTGTTGTTGAGCTTCTGATAAACAGGTTTGCCTGATAATTAAACACTTTTTATCACTTCTTGGAAAAGGAAATTGATTTCTGTATATTGACGTCTTCTTCAGGGCCTTGAGTAAGTCTGAATTTGAAGATGTTCGGAAACTCGCAGCTGAGCTATGTGGGCGAATTCATCCCGATGTATGCAACAATTTGATTTAAAGATTAAGCATGCTGTGAAATATATGGTTTACACTTTACATTAATGGCCTTTCCATATTTACTGGGAGGATTATTGCTTTACATTCTAACATGATCGTTGAAACATGATAGCGTCCTTCATTATTGTGTTCAAGTGTTTTTTTTTCTGGTTCCTTGTCATGGGCTCCATAATTTCTTCCATGGTTTATGCCTATGCTCCTCAAGTTACATTAATGATCTCGATTACCCTGCCTTATCATTTGCAGGTTCTTATTCCAATGATGTCCTCTCAATTAGAATATGCTGCTAATGCTAAGGATGTATTAATGATAAAAGCTTGTCTATTTTCGGTTTGTACATCTCTAATGGTGAGTTTTCCAGTTCCCATGAGCATTCGTTTTATTTATGATGATAAATCTTGAGAAACTGTTCTCTATACCTACTACTTTCCCATTTCCCCCCTTTTTTGTGATGTAGGTCAGAGGCATTAATGTGTATAAGCATCCTGATTTGTTCAGAATAAGAAAAACAATTCAGAATATTCTATCATGGTCATCAGTGGACGGAGATGAAAGTGAGTAAATATTTTTTTGTTCTGCTGAATCTCGTTAATTCTGCCATCTTGAAAACCTTATATTTCTGCTTCAGTTTCCAAAGCACAACACGGGTGCATTGATTGTCTGGCCTTGATGCTATGTACTGATTTGCAAGCTCCAAAGTCTCTAAGGGTCTCAAACTCGGAAGACACTTGCCATGTTGGAAATGGCATCCACTCTGTTGGTATAACTTGAACCTCATGCAAGTACTTTAAGCATGTTTGCTAAGCTTAAAATGTTTGCATATAAGTTTTAATAATTTTTTCATCGGTCAAAGTTGGAAATACGTTAGCTTTTTTAGCTACAAATAGCTTCTTCTAAAACAAGTAACTTTTTAACTAAAGGTATGAAAAGAGAAAATTATCCGAACATGTTTGCGAACAAAAAGTAAATTTTCCTTCAATAAGCTTAGCCCAAACATGCTCTTATACTTCAAGCTGAACCTCATGGAACCTGGGGCACATGACTGCAGGTGATGCAGCTGTCGAAGATTCTGTACTGACATATGTGATCCATCAATTAACAAATGATGTGAAGGATTTCTCCTCCAAGTCTGATAAACACGATTGCATATCTAAGGCAACAGTTCGCCTCTCTTTTCGCCTATGCATGGCTAACGTACTCATAAGTGCCTGTCAAAAGATATCAGGGGCTGGAAAGAAACCCTTTGTTCGGAAAATTCTTCCTCGTGTTATTCAATCTGCTAGGGTACGATAATATCTGAATCTCTGTATTTAGATTCCAATACAAGTATATAACTGAATATTAAGTACTCGGGGAAAGACCGACGTGCTTTTTCTTGTTTCACCGACCTGTTTGTCGTTAGCAGGAAATGGTGGAGCCCGAGATTAGGGTTGCATGCATCCAGATTCTTTTCTCGGCAGTATACCATTTGCAGTCTTTGGTTTCTCCATATTCATTCGATCTCCTCAGCATTGCTTTGAAATCACTTAGAGAAGGATCACACAAGGTACTTTCAGAAACGATGTGATTGTAGTAATCAGGTTGAAGTTTTTTGCATGCTTCATTCTCCTTGTCTTGAACTGCGCTCTTTAGTTAACTACATTGACGGGCTCGCCTACTTATTGTTACTTTTGGAAACGATGTGATTGTAGTAATCGGGTTGAAGTTTTTTGCATGCTTCATTCTCCTTGTCTTGAACTGCGCTCTTTAGTTAACTACATTGACGAGCTCGCCTACTTATTTTCTTAACAATTTTAAGTTTTTTGTTAACTCTTGAAACCTCCTAAATTGAGAGTTCAAGAACACGTCTTGTACACAAGGCCAGGTTTTTGCTATGAATCTAAGCAAATACTGATTTCACTTTCACTTTATGATGTTTTGTCGCGTAAGATGGAAACCTCAATTTTTGTCTGCCAAATTTCACCGTAGTTTTTTCTTCGGGAAGTGACTTTTTGTTGTTGACAGGAAAAAATGGCGGGTGCCAAGTTATTGGCATCTCTAATGGCAAGTGATGAAGAGATTGTAGAAAGTATATCCGAGGGGCTACTCGAAGCAAGAACGTTGCTTCGAAGTCTATCGTTATCCGATCCTTCGATGGATGTAAGGCAAATCTGCCAGCAACTTCTTGTGTGTTTAACTTCTAATGTTCACAATTTTCGTCTGTAGTCACTTCCATATTACTGCATAATTGTGCTGTGTTAATGTACAGATTTTGGCATGCACAAGTGTGAAAGCATTAGTCGAGTAGTAGCTCGTTTCTTTGCTATTATTTTTGGGCATGTCGCGTCATCTCTGCACAACGTTTCGATTTTATCCGGTGTTCCAGATAAGGACAAAATAAAATTGGATTGCATAGTTGTAGAGATATTTTCTTTGTTTTGTTGGGTAGTAGTTGATCGAGATAAATCAGCTAAGCAAAATGAATTGAACATGTTGCAGGGGATGGGGTGGGTGGGTGGGTGGGTGGGTGCATGGTGAAAGAGATTGTGGTTCTCTTTTTTTTTTTTTGGCCTATTTGAATTTTGGGGGCAACATTTTCTTTTTGTCAAATTTGACGATTTTTGGATTGAAATGTTGAGGAATTATGAAATTGTAACATAAATTTTGAGGAATTATGAAATTTTTGGATTTAAAGTAAATTTTTATTTTTAAATAATTTTTTTTCTACATTTAAGTAAAAGAAATTGTATTATTTTAAAACTTGATTAATTTAAATTTTATATTTAGGCATCGTTTGGTAACNCCAATAGTGGGGCGCCACTTGGCGATTTTGTAATACATTATGTACAAGATTTTGTACATCTAGATAAATCCGTATTTTAAAACGTGACGACCATGCATCCACCGCGATCCTGAACTCATCAGTCTCAATCAATCCCATTATCCCACCTTCCTCATTCTGTACAAAAACCCTCCATTTTCTCTACTGTCAATCAATACATACATTATATATACAGAAATAATGCTGCATCTGTTCTTCGCCGTGATATCCGCAGCGGCGCCGCTGACTCTTTACGTGGCGCCGATGAGGAACCTGAGCCAGTTCGTGGAGACGATGGAGCTTCTGTTCCGTCCTACAATTTCCTATATGCTCCTCCGACTTTTACCCCGCGTACGCAGCGCCATCGGACACTTCCTATCCCCCGAACTTCTGACCTTCGGAAGGTAGATTATTAAGATCTATCAAATGTGGCTTGTGGTTGTTGGTTTGACATTGGAACAAGTGCAAATTTCTAATGCCTGCCTTTTTCGTTCTAGGCGGTTGGGTCTCATGTTGTACTGCTTAAACTTGTTATGAGATGTAGATATGAGAGAACTGTATTTGTTTTGCACTGCCAGGAGACTATATATTGACTTGAATTTTGTAATTTTTCTGTAGGATGTTGGATTGTTGTGTTGAAATTGAAAAGTGATAAGAACATTTGATTCTTAAATCTTAAGAGAAACTCTACTGTATTTGTCTTGCACTGCTAGGAGACAATATATTGACTTGAATTTTGTAATTTTTCTGTAGAATGTTGGATTGTTGTGTTGAAATTGAAAAGTGATAAGATTCTTAAGAGGACTCTGTTGACCTTGACTCTTCAGGATGAAATTTGAAACTTTTTACTGATCTATTTTGGAAAGAATGAATTTGGAAGCTGAGATTTGTGGTTTTTGTTTCTTTAATCACTACATGTTAGCTTTGCCATTGGACATTGATTGTTAGCTTAATTGTGTTAAAAAGATTGTGTGACCCTTTTTCCTAATTGATAACATGATGTTGGTTACCTATTAAAAGAACTCAAATTATACCTTTTACGGATAAATGATCTTCCTCCTTTTAGTACAATTGAATAAGAAACCTAATGACATTGGTTTTGTCAACCTTTTTCTACCTTGCTCGTGATTAAAATCGACATGTTAAGATAATTTTCTAGGGTCGTGCCAATTACCCAGGAATGAAGATGTGTTTTACTGACTGGTATAGATTTTTTAGTTGACATCTGGCTGTCCATTAGCCATGTGTTCTTGAACAACTTGTTTTTTGGTGGTTGGTGTTGGTTGTGGGGTGAGGGTCAAGATGTTTGTCCAGACTGCTTTAATGGATTCGGTTGGTGATATCTACCATAATTTGATGTAGTGGACCGGTTGATCGAGGACACTTGACACACTTGTTGGGCACGCGCATGAATAACATGTATTTTGTGTGCGAGTGCGAGTGAAGTGGTGAAATTTGTGATTATGCTTAATCTTAGTTTCAAATAAGTTCGAGGTTGCTTAATTTCTGCTGTTCTCCTCTGGTATTGAAGTAGTCTGCTAAGATCCCAAATATATGTTGTGGTTGTTAATCAGGCTGGGGAAGAAGACTGCAAATTTGATATTTGGGTGACATGTTCTTTACTTTTTTTTCCTTCATTGTTTGCTATGGTGAACTGGACAAATATTAATGAGAAAAAGAAGAAAAATACTTTTGTACAGTTATTTGTTTTAGAACAGTATGCTAAGCAGCCAATACAAGAAAAAGCTTCTCGGCTTATGATTATTAATTTTTATGTAATGTCAGATGGAATCTTTACTTGGGACTTTCATCTATATATCTAGCAAGCACGTTATATGCTGCCTATGACCTTTCAACATAGATTAGCTAGTACATTGATTTTTATATCCCAACATTGTATAATGTGGTAGTTCGGTCTTAACATAGTATTAAAATAGTTTCTGGGTTCGATGCATTTCTTTATTAAAAGTTGTGCACGTCTAAGGCTTTAATGAAAAATTAATATTATAGGTGTGATAATATTTAAGTAATATATTTGATTAATTTTAACAACTTAAAATTTTAATCAAATTTAACCTGGAGGGCTTGCTCAATTGATCAGGCATTGAGTTTGCTCCCCAATGGTCACCAGTTAGAGTCCCCTCAAGGCCACTGAGGTGAGTACCGGACCGTAAACTTCAGGGTCTCGTGGGATTAGTCGAGGTGCGCGCAAACTGGTTCGGACATCCACGATTATAAAAAAAAAAAAAAAAAAATTTAATCAAATTGGACCAATTTTTTAGTTGTATGTTTGAACTAATAGAAACATCACACTATATGAAGAAGTCCATTTACAAAAATTTGCCCACCAAAAATAGCCCACATACAAAAACTTGATCATTGTCAAGTGTTGAGCCTCACACTTTCTCTCCCCACCAGAATGCCATCCTTAAAGTCCAAAGTCCTTGCCATCGTCGTCGGCATGCTACAACTCGCCTGAGCCCCGCCATGAGGAGAGATGGAGGAAATAGGTCGAGCCGGTGGACAAGCCCAAGCCACGAGGAGCGACCCAAGGGGTACTTGTTCAACCAGATGTCATTGTCGCCTGGCGAGTCTCGAAAGCAAGAGGATTCGGAACTTCCCCACTACATCACCAGTTTCTTCACAATTGTTATACTTGGCGTGGGCCTCAATGCCAAGCCCGATCTTACCATCGAGTCATGGATGCAACAAGAAGCCCTTGAACTGTTCAAGTGTTAAGTTGTGGAGTCTAATTATTGTCGATCCTAATTATCGCCATTTAGTGGAGCCGGCGTTGATTGACTTCAGCGGTGAGGTCGCCGTGGGGTTGGAAGGGGGCAGAGGCTCCTTGGATCCGACCAAAATTTCATTAAGAACTGTTTAGGAATTTGTATTCTTATAAAATTTTATTAAAGAATTGAAGTCTTTATAAAATTCGATTTTGCCTCAACTTATCTTATAATAAGGAGCCATCCTTGAGCTTTAGAATTTTCACCAAAAAGAGAGAGATGCTAGAGAAGATAGGCGTACAGTTTTCTCTTGTTAATCTTCTTCTTCCTTTTTTTTTTGTATGGATTATTGTAGCGGCGGCACATTGAGGTGGACTTCTATAAATCTTGCGTGTTCTTGAGTTTTATTTTTATTTTTTCGAATTGAATGCTCTCGATGAATAAAATTAGGGTTTATAATTCTCAACATCAAGATGGAGTTAGTCCAATCTGATTAATTTTTTTCTGTGACAATTTTCTCGGGTATAATTTTTAAATTCTGATTTTCGTTTCAAAAAGACCTTGCATGAATTATGGAAACTAGTGTAATTGCTATTTGAAGAATGTGTGGTTGAAATGATGTCAAATCACTGTTCAAGAATATATTTTGATGGAAAAAATGGGGCTCAAACAAGGGCTTATTGACTTGTTGTCAATTTGAAATGAAAACTCTTTTGCTTGAAATGATGTTTGAAATGCAATTTAAGAATTTATCTTTCTACCAATTTAAAGTATTTAAATTTATGAATTTTCTTCTGTTCATTTCTTAAGGGATTCATTCAGGACGGATGAATTTTGGCGAAATGGACCTGACTCTTTCCATAGTACTTCATTTGGATCCTTTATGACTCTCTAGAGGGGAAATACATTTTTGGCAACCCTTTTATAAGTCATTAATTTTTGCTTATACTTAATCTTGTTTTGTATTTTCTTTTGTGTAGCTTGACAATTTGAAGGTTATTCTAGCTCATAATGATTGAGTGTTGCTGTTTGCTTAATACTTGAGAGGAAAGATGTGGAAAAGTAATTGGAGACAATTAAGAGCATTTCTAGATGCAAAATTGTATATATGAGCATGATAATACGCGTAATGTTGTGATGATATGTGATCCATAATAATGAATCATTCAGTGCAATGAATATTAAGTTTGGCATACCATCTTACAATTTTCATATGATTTGTGGGATAACTGGTTGAAGATTATTTGTCAATTGTCAATTGTCACTACGTAGCTCGTTGGACTGGTGGGATGAACCTTTGTGCAGCTGAAGTGTCCATTTGTGAAGGTGACCTTTCTTAAAGAGTTATACAAATATCTTTTTGACTGATTCGATGCAGTTAGAGACGGAATTCGTTGAGTTGTTGTTGAACAGTGCAGTGTCATTTGGCTTTTAGGTAAGTGAGGTTATTCGAATACGAATCCCATTGACGATTAATGGATTCAGCTGGTTTGAAATTTTTGATTGTTCGGTTCTGTAAGGTCGTGATAGTGATCTTGAAGTTTGATGAGGTTGGTGGAGCTGCTGGAGCATCATCATTTATCATACAGATTCCTTCCATTTTGTTTGCGCACTTGATTGTGCCATGATAGTTCTAATCCAATGCATCTGGTAGAAGATCCATGTTTAGCCAATAGAAGTTTAATAATGATTATTAATGAAATGAATAAAATGCTCTTTCAGTGCATTATTGACTTCACTGACCGTTTGTACTTGGACGATGAAGCACCATCGTAATTAATGGATCAAGATTATTGGTAGTTGCGTATTAATCTTTTGGTCCAATATTGCCCCCTTTATTGCAATATATATGTGTTTTTCATGAAGTTGAAAATACCATTATCTTCATTCTGTTACATCAATTAATGTAGAAACACCATTACAGCACTGTTTGCTGACATAGTATAGACCAAGAATCATCTATGGTAGCATTCATTTTTATCTCCATGTCTTAGGTTTGATAAGTTCAACACTTGTACGGGTGAAACAGCTTTTTTTAATTTGAGGTGATTGAATCTCCTTTTCTATGTACAAGAATTAAATGAAAGGATTGTATAAGTAGAAGAGATTAAAAGAGAATAGTAAGTTAACATCTAGTGTTGATTACCTTGAATCAGACTTGTCCTTGGAGAATAGACTGGTTTTTACAGTTTGACGTGAATCTTATTACTAGTACTAGGATCTGTGCTAAGGTTGTCCCTGTAGGTGAAGGTTGAGAAGTGTTAAGATTCCGAGAAAATGCACGGCCACAATTTTGTAAGTAGGAATCAAATTTATTCTTTCATTATGTGCATACAGAAGAATATAATAAACCCGAGAATGACACTCCATAGAAATCACATAATATCATGACAAATCCATAGCTGAATCCACACCCGAAAACCCAAAATCAAAGGGAGAATAGAAAATACAAGAGAAAATCAAATAGCTTGGTACTCAATGCCTCAAAATAGCGAAAAGTGAGAATAAAAGAGATGTCCCAATGATGGCACCAGAGACTGGCAAAGAGAGTGCATCTCCAGCATCGGGAGATGGGGCTGGCCCCTGAGCAGAAACAGTAACAGCTGCTGCAGAGATAGCAACAACAGCATAAGCTAGCAGGAGGGACTTTGCAATACTAATTTGCGCCATTGGATTTCTGAAATTTGCCAGTTGGAGTAGGAACAGAAATTGAATTAGGCAGGAGAGAATTGGGATTTGAAGTGTTGAAGGTTGGTTTTTGGTGTTGTAGTTATAAAGGGGTAGTGGGTCCAGTGACAACTGGTGACAGAGAAATGGTTGGTTAAAACATAGGATTCACAGGTCAGTTGATGAATTATGAAAACTTGTTTAGTTGCTTTTTGAATAAATAAATGAAATTGAGTTGTTGCCAGTTTGAAACGAAAATTCTTTTGCTTGTTTTGGAATTTTATCTTTCTGCTTATTTAAATTAATATTTATGGGTTTCCACTTTTTCTTTACCTTTATTAAGGATTTCATTCTTTTTAGGGGTGGATGAATTTTGGCAAAGCGGATCCAACCCTTTGTTTTATAAGTCATCACTATTTGCGTAGGCTTAGTATTGTGACGAAATCTTGTTTTATATTTTCCATCGCGGAGCTTGACAGTTCATAGTTATGCTAGCTCCTTGTTAGTGTTAATACGATGTAAGATTGTATGTACTCTTACGTCGATAAGTGATCCTTACTATCAAGTTTGGCATACCATATTAGAATTATTCAACGCTTCACAGGATAACTGGTTAAAGATTATTTGTCAACTGTCTCCAAGTAGCTCGTTTAATTTTGACCAAGTGTCCATTTGTTAAGTTGACCTTTCTTGTACAAATGTCTTCTGAGTGAGTTATTACAACTACAGAGGACGAGAATTGTTAATGAATTGTCAAACTGTGTCCATTGTCTGTTTGGATTTTAGGTAAGTGAGATCATTCAAATCCTAGTCCTACTGACTATTAATGGAGTCTTTGGTTTGATATTTGAGAGTTTGTTTCTGTAGGGTCGGTCGCGAAGAAATCTTGAAGTTGGATGAGGTTGGCGGAGCATCTTCATTTATGATTCCGAGTACTTCCTTTTTGTGTGGGTACTTGATTCTGCCACGATAGGCTTGGCCGAATGCATTAGGCATTTGATCTCAGTTTGGCCACTAAATACACCTTGGGAGAAAAGTTGTAAGGTGTTTATTAGATTAAGAAGCTACTTTTAAACGTATTTATATAATTTTTTGAAACTTTGATTAGAAGAATTTTTAGAGAAAATTGATCTAAAATAACTTATCCGTGAAGTTCTTACACACACACACACACAGATATATATATATATATATATATATACACACACATATATATACATATATATATATA